AAAAAAAAAAAAAAAAAGAAAGAAAGCTCTTACACTGTAATAAGTAGCAGATGGCTAGTAGAAGCTGGCAAAAAGCAGAGATGGGTGCTATCAAGTGTCTGTTGGATAGAAGGAAAAATGGAAACACTTTTGTACACAGGAAGGGGAGGGGATTTGAGGGGGAGAATGGGATAAAATAAAATTTTTTTTAAAAAGCAGATACAGGGAGAGTAATCATCTAATGGGTTTGGAAACACATAGTTTAAGACCCAAATATATATGCATGTTTATTGAAGTTGAGAATTAGTGTTCTGACTTTAATTCTATTCAGAGGGCCATTAAAATAAAAAATTCATCCATAATAACTATGTAGGGATAAGCAATGTTCCTGTAATAATGATGAAATTGACAGGAAAAAAAAGTGTCTGTTGGGGACTCCTCCTGTAATCCATCAGGTTATCACTTAAAAACAAATCATTTCACTTCTCTGCTTAACCCTCTAAGGCCTTCCCATCCACACTGAATAAAATCCCAAATCCCTCACCAGGATTCAGGGTCTGGCCTGAAATGAATCTTTGCCTACCTCTTCAACTTTATAACTTCTCCTTGTCACCTATTAAGCTCCAGGCACTGTGGTCATTTCAGCCCTTGGCTAAGCTCTTCCCTGACTCAGAGTTTTGGCTCAGGACTCTCCATTATCCAGGTAAGCAAGCCTGGCTTACTCTCGTATTCTCTTTAAATTTTTATTCTTATTAGTGCGTGTTTGCAGTACATAATGATTGTATTCATTTTGGGGAGTTGGTAAATGTACATACACATTTTAATTCTTTTTGTTTTCCCTTGTCTTTCCTATTCTGGTATTCTTTTACCCTGTTGCACACTTGGCCAGATTGTAAACTCTCAGGACAAGGATGTCTGTTTTAGCCACCAGTATGTACCCAGGACATAGCAAAAGGCCTGCCATACAATATGACAATAAAAATTTGTTAGATGAATATACATTCAAATTGAGTCATTAAGAGATGTACAGTAATTCAACTGGATATGTGGTGCACACCTGTAATCCCACCCCTTGGGAGGCTGAGGCAGGATTACTGCAAATTCGGGGCCAGTCTAGATTAGACAGTTGAGTTCAAGGTCAGCCTGAACTATGTAAAGAGACTGTCTCAGGAAAAAAAAAAAACAGATGTACAGAAGTTCAACAACAAAACTGATAAGCCAAACCCTAAAGTAAATGATGGGAACAGTGGCTGAGAAATAAGCCTAGGCAAGAGTTTGACACTTAATGGTGACAAGGTGTTGAATCTAAGAATCTGGATCCAGTGGCAATGTAGACAGTGGATTGGGAATGTGGTGGGATGAGGATGGGAAAATACAAAGGCAGAGAGGGCAGTTGCTGGACCCATCTGGGCAGCTCCTCCTGATTCCTGCGGGCTGTTGGTAGCTCTGGCTTTCACGTCTTTAAACGTGTGTGAGTCCTCCTCCATTTTACTGAGAACTCCACAGATGTTGAAATCCGGTCTTGTTTATTTGTCTACATCTAGAATTAGGTTAAAAAAAAAAACAACCCACAACAGTCGTCACGAAGTTTTGACGGCTGAAATAACTCAAAAGTGTCAGAGCTTAACGGTTATAGAAAAGACTCAAGCTTTGGAGAGTTCAGTTCAACCTGAGGCTTTGCACTTTCTAGCTAGAACCCTACTAAAGTCATTTCCTCGAAATAATTAAATGAAATCGGAAAGGGCTGAACATATTTCCTGACATAGTAGGCACTCATTTTTTATGTTTGTTTGTTTTGATACCAGGGATCAATCCGGACCTTGAGCTTGCAAGGCAGGCGCCGGAACCACTGAGCTAAATCCCCGGCCCTGCACTCACTGGTTATTGACTGCAAACTTACAGGCATAACCAGTCTCCCTTGCCCCTAAATGGGATACCTATGGGGTTCTGCTGTCCCGGGTGATACCCCCGTCCTGATGTCACCACAATGACACCAACCAAATATGGCGACCTTGAAGCCATCCGAGAGCGTCCATAACCGGTCATGCTTGAGAAAGATACAAGACGAACTGAGAAGAAACGCCTAGGGCAGGGTTCGAAACGCCAAGCTAGAAGAAGCAGAGCGCGCCCACGCCAGCAGTCAACCACAAGCTGGAGAAAGCACTGCCGCCAGAGCCGAGCTACAGCCCAACACACCAACCACGTGTTGGAGGAGAGTCTGCGCCTGCGCGAGCCAGGCGCGCGCCCGCCGGCCGGAAGAGCCGCGCGTTTCCGGGTTGGAGGCGGGGAGCGGTGCCGGAAAGTACTCGGGGCGGGCCGCGCAGTCGGACCGGCTGCTGAGACGAAAGCTTCTCTGGGGCAGTCTCCGCATATCATGGGGAGATAGACGCTGCTGCCTGTGAGTCTTGGGCCCTGGCAGTTGAGGAAGAAGAGTGGGAGGAGGGAGTCAGGACCCAGACCCACAGTGGGTCAGTGTTTAAAGAACTAGGTTGTGGAGGAGACTGGGCTGTGAGCATTCAGGCTCTTGGGACGGGACTTGAAGGGATCGGGCTCGGAGAAGATGCGGCTGTGGGAACCCAGGCTCTGAATGAGACTTAGAGAACGGGAACGGAGTGAGTTCTTCGGCATCTGAGGGAAAGCGGTCCGAGAGGGACAGGATTGTGAAACCCGTACTTTTTGGAAGAAAGGGTCGGAACGAAACTGGGCGTGAAGACACGCTTCACAGAGGTAAAAGTGGAGCCGTGAGCACTTGGGCTCCTAAGAACAGAAGCGGGACAGTCAGGACCCAGGCTCCTAAGGATTTAGAAAGAGGGCAGCGAAGGACAGGTTTCTGAGAGGCAGAAGCAGGCAGAGAACACTTAAGTTTAGGATGAAGCCGAAGCGGGCAGTGAAAACCGGGGCGTCTGTGAGGACAGGATCGGGGCTTTGAGACTCCGAGTTCCTGAGGAAATAGGGCTGTGAGGAGCCAGGCTCCTAAAAGCAGAGGATCCGAGGGGCCCTGGTGTGAGGTCAGTCTCCAAGGGAAAGGGAGAGTGGGAAGGATAGAGCCATCAATTGTTTCCCTCGTATTCTCTGTACCCAGAGTGATAACGGATGTATTCAGGAGAAGACTCCTTCCTTCGCGCTGCCTCCTTGGTTGTTGGCAGGCAGGCTTTTCTTGAGTCAGATACTTAATTTAGTTTTGTTTTGTTTGTTTGTTTTTTGAGACAGCGTCTCGCTTTGTAGTTTAGGCTGGCAATGAACTCACTGTGTAGCCTAGGCTGGCCTTGAACTGGAAGCGATCCTCCTGCTTCTGCCTTCCGAGTGCTGGGATTATAGGTGTGTGCCACCACACTCGATTTAGGTACTTAATTTAGGAAGCCCACATTCAAGGATCTTCGTTTTTTCTGCTTCATTATTGCGAATCGGATGTGAAGTTGGAAGCAGTTTGAACTCAGTTATATACTTGAGTGCCTTACACCCCATTTCAGTCACCCCGAAGATCTGTACATCTCGAATAGAATGTCAAAGATGGAGGGGCCTGAAAAGATCATCTCTTCTACACCCTCGTTTTACATTTAAGAAGAAAAAGGTCTGAAGAGGACTTAGGATCACATTGAGACAATGAATAGTTAGATCATAAGTTTGATGCAGTACCCTGATGTGTGTAGCAAACAACAGATGCTTGGTTAATATTCCTTGAATAAATGCTTCTAGAATTTTTACCTTCAAAATCAGGAGAGAGTTTTTATTCTTTCTCTCCTACTGGGACTGAACCCAGGGGTGATCTACCACAGAGCTACATTCCCAGGCCCCTCCTCCCCTTTTTAAAACATCGAGACAGGCACTGGCTAAATTGCCCAGGCTACTTGAACTTGCAATCTTCCTACCTCAACGTCTCTGTAGGCCTGCTCCACTGTTCCCTACTAGGAGGGAGTCTTGTTTCTTTCTTTTTCTTTTTTTTTTTTTTTGGTACTAGGGATCAAATTCGGGTCCTTGTGCTTTCAAGGCAGGTGGCAGAACCATTGAGCTAAATCCCCAGCCCTGGGAGTCTTGTTTCTGTACTAACATAGATACAGTGAATGTCACTTGTCAATGAGGAAACTTTTAAATTCAGTCCAGTGTTATTTTTTTATGGTTTTGTGGTGGTGGGGTGTTGTTTTGTTTTGTTTTGTTTTGGTACTGGGGTTTGAACTGGGGACCTTGTGCTTTTGAGACAGGGAGGTGGCAGAACCACTGAGCTAAATCCCAGGCCCCTCCTGGCCCTTATTTTCTAATAAGCTATTTAGAACATGACAAAAAAGTAAGTGTGGGCTGGGAATTTAGCTCAGTGGCACCGTGCCTGCCTCCCAAGCATAAGGTCCTGAGTTCAATCCCTGGTACCAAAAAAAAAAAAAAAAAGTAACTATGAT